TTTTTCGAGGAGAAAAAAGCAAAAGTTCTGTATTTCAAGCGTATGCCAAATCTATCCTCTTGAATTTCCTCAAACGATCATATCTTAGCTTGTCAAAAGTTCATAGAAACAAATCCTTTTAGGTTTTTTCTAATTTTATGCAAGTCGCCTTATATACACAATTTTGATACCAAAAGGTACCTGTATTAGTGTTATTAGCGGAAGAATAAAATCTAGATGACGCCAGTAGTCGATTATGAGAATAAGCCAATGTATAATGTTTCTTAACATATTTGAATATTAAAATAACTCTTATTTCATTTATTCTGCATAATTATAATCATTAAAACGACGTTAGTCATAAAAACAAACAAATGAGTAATCTTATCCAATCATGAATTTAACGCCTACATGATGACGACAGTAACAGTGTTGAAATCATTCGACACACAATCTCGTTGGTCAACATTTTTCTTTTTCTTTGTTCCTTTTTATCAAGAATATGACATCATATATGAGGTTGTGTGAGTAACACTATGTTACACGTACAACTGCACAGCAAACAATAGGAAAAAAAGAATATCCATCTTTACTGATCCATTTATTTCTATTATTTTTGATAACTTTATATAGAGAAAAACAAAAATCTATTCTTGAATGATTTGACAATGAATATTTCTTGTGTTAAATGTATATTCAATCGACAAATAATTAAACTTCCATTTTTAAGACGTTGGTATTCTGATATAAATACAAGCACTTATGATTTCAAAGAGGTTTGTATTTGCATTTCAACTAATTGAAATTTGAATTTATATGTATATGTTTTATTTTTTAGCCACATTTTGGTTTACTTTTTGATATTGATGGTGTTTTAACACGTGGACGAAAATTATTACCTTATACACGTGATGCATTTCGTAAACTTGTATCAACATCTGGACAATTTCGTGTTCCAACTGTATTTGTTACTAATGCTGGTAATGAATTACGTTCATCAAAAGCTGCAAAACTTTCACAAATTCTTGGAATTCCAGTAGAATTACTTTTTTTGTTTTTATTTAAACAAAAACAAAAAAATCAATTTTTTAATTTAGGTTTCAGCAGAACAAGTAATCATGTCACATAGTCCATTAAAAATGTATACTGAATTTCATAAAAAACATTGTTTAATTAGTGGTCAAGGACCAATAGCTGATATAGCAAAAAATTTAGGTTTTACAAAAGTAACAACTATTGAACAGTTATGTGATGCTTTTCCAAATCTTGATATGGTTGATCATAAAAAACGACGAGGATTTGTATGAACATATATATCTTTGTATTATTATTGTTTTGAAGGAAAAGTTTTTTTTTTTTGTCATTTTAGCATTCACCATTTCGAGATTATTTTTTACCTATTGAGGCTGTTGTTCTATTTGGTGAACCAGTTAGATGGGAAACATGTTTACAATTAATTATTGATGTCTTAATGACAAATGGAAATCCTTCATCACCTATTATACGTCCACCTGTTTCACATTTACCTATTTTAGCTTCAAATGCTGATCTTTTATGGATGGCAGAAGCTGCTTTACCTAGGTAAAAATTTAAATATTGAAATTTTTTTTTTTTGGTTTTTAATATTTCGACTATGTTTTGTATTTTAATTATTGTTCGAGACAAGAATATTTTAAAGAGAAATGATAGATAATGATTCTTGCATGCCATCAAATAGAATAAATAATGTTTTGCAGTTACTTGAAAACAATAGAATTATTTATTAAAAAAAAAAATTTTTTATGTTGTTGATATTTTGTTAGATTAATCAAATAGATGAAAGTAAAATATAATTATGAATTAACATAGAACAGATTAAATATGGAATTATATTTAATATTCTTACATTGTAATGTCCTGACAAATTATGTCAAGGACATCCTTGTTTGAACAACTCGTTCTATGAGATTCTGACAGATGCTGCAATGTGTAAAAATATAGTGAGTTTAAATTTTAAGTCAAGATTTTAATGTCTTCTTTTCTTCCTTCGTCATAGCAGTAGAGGTCACCTGTCATTTAGTACGTTTCCATAGCAATAAAAAAAAAAGAAGCATTGAACGGTATAAACAACAAGATTTAGATCTTTCTCAAAAAATGATTGAACGGAATACGTTTAGAAATAAGATAGCTTTGCTTTTTACGCAGGTAATAATTTATAATTAAGATGTCAACAATGATTAGTATTGATTTGTCACAATTGTCATATGATCATAATAAAAAGTGCAAGCTTATCGATTATGTATAATGGTTTATTATGACCTGCTATAGATATATTCTAAATAAATATAACAAACTTATTTACCCGTTAGATCAATGATTGTTAAAATCATAATATGAAAATAAGAAAAATGAAAAATAAAACAAATAAAAATTGTTAGTACAATCCTTTATGAGATTAAAATTTATAACATGTTATACAGCTGCTCTTATTAATTTCATATACAGTCTTTTATCGTATATCGACTATGACTATTGGACTTTAAAACTTCTTTTAGATCGTGTTTTAAAAAGCGTAAAAATTCATGTGAATACCACATTGTAGTTCTAGATATGATGTGTTCATACAAGCATTTTTGTCTTCGAATAAAATACTTTTAACATTCTCTTGATAGCAATTATTCGAAAAACATATCTTTGATGATTTCAATTGTTTTTATTGAATTTAAATAATTATTTATTATAGATTTGGGCATGGATCATTTATGTATTGTTTAGAAAATTTATATAAAGTAACTTTTTGCTATATATATATTTATATATGTTTGCTAATCTAATATAATTTATAAAGAAAATATCTGGTCATTTTCTGCAATATACAGCAATTGTTGGTAAGCCAAGTGAAATAACATATTATCATGCCGAATACCTTATATCACGACATGCACATGAACTTGGTTATAAACAACCAATAAAACGTATATATGCTGTTGGTGTAAGTTTTTAACTTGAAATTTTCAATTAGATTAAACAAAAAAAAAAATTTTCATATCTAGGACAATCCCGATACCGATATATTTGGTGCAAATGTTTATAATCGTTATTTACAAACTCGAGCATTATCGAAATTAAAACAAGTTGTTACACAAACAGTTAATTCATCACCAATATTTGACACAAATGCATGGAATCATTCAAATGCTGTTGAATTAGTTGCTAGTGATGCTGAACATTATTATTCAGCAGAAAATATTCAATCAATACTTGTTTGTACAGGTGTATATAATCAAGAAGCATATGATGAATCATCATGTTTAAATCATGGTCATCGTGATATGATCATTGATCCTGAACTTAAAAAACCGAAATATACAGTTGAACATGTTCTAGATGCTGTTAAACTTGTTTATGAAATTGAACAGTTCCATTAGCAACGAAACATATTTTTGTCCGTATAATCTCGGTGATTAATTCCTTGTTTTTTTTTTGTTTCTTTTCTTTTGTTTTCCTTTGTCGATTAAGATCTGAATATATATATTTATGAAAAGAAAAATTTATTTTTCTATGTTCGTTTTATTACTATAAATATTCAATATATAGATTGATCCATGCACATGTCATTTTTTTAAAATTTGTTTTAAATCAGATAGTTTTATGTTACTTTTTTTTGTCCTTTTTCTCTCGTTTTGTGTTTTGTATCAGTTAGTTCTGGTGAATGACAGACAAATCTGTTCAAACATATGCATATTTATTTGTGTGTAGTCAACTTCTTGATAGGCGTTTGTTTTCTTTTCTTTTCTTTTCTGTTCTTGTATCTGTGCGAACAACTGATGATGATGTTATGATTATGCTGTAGGACAATTGGAAACATATCGATTTAATAAAAAAATTTAATAAAGAAGCATTGATTAGTTGCATGAAAAATATCAACTCTGTTGTTTTACTAACTTTAGATAGGAACAAAATAAATAGCTGCAGTGTTTATCATTAGAAAGAGAAGATAAAGATGTATCGAATCGTTTATTAGAAATTTTTTTTAAATAAAGGTTTCTGATCAAACTTTTGGAAAAGCAACGTACTCTATGAGTTGGTTATAGTAAAGGTGTGCATCCTCACATTTTTGCTTTTTATACTATATGATGTGATGCGAGTTCATCTCCTATTTTCAATAGTGAAAACTGCAGTGCTCTATCTTGTTTCTATCAAAAGTTATTCAAAAAAAATGCCCACGTACCTTTTGGTTAGAAGATGAAGTATTGGCCAATTATGATGCAGTTGCATCTACATATCGAGACGCATTCAAAACCAAACGTATCTATTATGCGATATAATACATGTATTTTTAACTGGTTAAAAGACCAGAAAACTTCTATTGATTACATGGGAGATCATACTATTGAGAGTCAATATTTTTCTTTTGATTGTATTAATTTTCATAATAGTCCGGAATTTTTTAGTTAGATATAGTGAATAAAACTGAGAATTGCAGTATGTTGATGACGTCTAAAGAACAAAAAAAAAGATTTTTCTTTCCTGTCATTCATATTCTTATGGCCTATTACATTACGCATCAAGATCAAAAGAAGAACAAGTAATCTATCGAGATACAATATACATTTACTATGAAATAAGGTAAGATGATGCAAAAAAAATACATCATAATATTATTTTAAATAATCACATTTAGATGGGCAATTTTCGACCTTTATGCTTCAAGATTGATGGAGTTTTAATAAATAATATCAAAATGAATGTTTTACATATGTCATTAATTTGTCATATATGTAGTGATATTGCAAATGATGTCGATTTTGATATGATTACTTGTATGTCGTGTAAAGAATTTTTTCGAAAATTTACATTACGATCAACAAATAGCAAATACTCAAGACCAATTAAACTTAATTTTCTATTTAATCAAAATAGAAAATTCTTCATTGTCTATTCGATTATAATTATAATAAAACAAAATGAACATGTACTGAATATTCAATTTGTTGTTTCAAAAAAAGCTGTTTTTACTCGAATCATTGAGTTCCCATCGTCTAAACCACACAATTGACTTTGTTTTAATGATAGCTTAAAATAGTTGCTATAATTATTTATACAAAGGTTGATCTTAGCAAACAATTAGTCAAACGTTTTTTTTTCTTAATTTTTCTTCTAGAATATTTTTAGGTACTTTGAAAATTTCACGAGCCAATAATTTTTCATTTGAATGGTTAATTAAATTACGCTTGATAAAATCAACTAACTAGAAATAACGTGATGCAAAGTCTGATGAAAATGGATGAATGCAACATTATATTCTTATCTACTTGTGTTAGATAATTACTCAGGTCAATGATTCCGAATTCTATCTTCATGATTTTCCGACCGGAATTTGCAAGCACGTTGTCATTTCCGGATAGAAAATTTTGAGAAACTTGGAAGAACTATTATGATCACTGTATAAGACGATTGATACTATTTCTACTATTTTGAAAATATTACACACTGAATTCATTTGAGTAATAAGAACACTTATTTCAAATTCAGATAGTAATTTTAGTAGCTAATTAAATTGTCTATCTAATAAATTTTTTATCAATATTTCTGAGAAATTGAACTCAGTAGTTTTCAGGTCGCAAAAGACAATTTATTAAAAATATCATTCTAAAGAACACAAAACAAGAACTCACTACATTGTTAATATTTTTCAATCGCCATAACCTATCAAACAATTTCGTCAAATTTCATGAGGAATTTTGACTCCCAGGGAAGTAAATCGACAGTTATTATTGACGTCATCTCTTCGTTCATGAGAACGTTTCATATCCTTCTTGCAACTGTTAGATGAAATGGAATGTTATGTTCGGATGTTTTTGTGAGTTCTTTGTAAATTGTCTCTGTGTTTATTCCTAAAATAGCTCGAATTTTAAGGAACTATCAATCGAATTCATGATCTATTTTTTGAGTTTTCATTGAAGCAGACATATAAATAAGATCGTCAGGACAAAAAAATACATTTGATACTTTAAATAGTTGAAATTACCAGAAACACAATATTGCATATATGTTAGGAAAGATATATGTGAAGAATATCGAATTGGTAAATCATTCCTATTAAGGGGTGTGGGTGTAGGTGTGGGGTGTTGACATCTTCAACCACACCCACATCTTTAACAATGTTCTTCGTCATATGTTAATACAGCGACATCTTCGCGTCTTTGAGAAAAGGGTTAGCGACTTTGTATGATGAGGACTATTAGATAACCAAATCAACAAAATCTCTGACTATGTTCTCTCATATTCTGACAGACCATCGCTTCAGTTGAAAATAAATTTGCAGGAAAATACTATCCTAACGATGACAACAAAGGAAGTCCAATACTATGCTGGTTTCATTCGATTCTCTGTGATTGCAAATTTCCTTGTCTTGCAATTATCAAAAAAATCTTTCTCTTCTGTTGCATGTAAAATCTTTGCTTTTTGTGCTCTTACCCGAAAATTGAGTACACTTTACAAGATTAAAAAGTACTGATAAACGAATCTTAATAAAGATTACAAAACACGTGCGCAATTGAACACTGCATTCTTTCATTTGAATTTGAGGGTAAACAGTTCTCTGCTAGTAATCTTCATCCAATCAGCAAGTGCTGAAAAGCATAAGTTAACCCTTTCCGGCCGGCTCCTAGAAGGCGAATAGAAAAAAATTCTTTTCCACATATTTCTTATTGTTGTATCATAAGTATAACAAAAATATTATTTTTTACTTAATAACTGTATGTTGCCATTTGACAACAGCCGGCCGTAAAGGGTCAAAAATTTGAAAAAATTACTTTTTTGTTTTCGATCGTCAAAACGCACTAGTTCGTGCTTTTTCGTTTATTTCTAATCTTATTTCAAGAAAAAAAACAACTTTAGCAAAGAAAAGACAAATCGAACTAAACAACAACAATAAAAAATTACTTTTGACAATATATGTTATCAATGATGATAGTCTTTGAAACAGTTACTCTTATCGTTCAAGCAAAGACGTATAGTTGGCATTTCGAACAACAAATTCTTGTATAACCAATACAACCAAAATTTCGACAACGACCTTTTGATGTATGAATAGGCCAATGATCAAACTTGTCTAGTCGAACACTTGATGGTGGAATTGAATTTGGTACAGCTCTTGATGTTGTTGTTTGATTATTTTCATTTGATGTTGAATCTAAAGATGGACGACCACGTTTTGTTGAAGGTGTAGGTGGTGCAGATTTAAGCATAGCTTCAGCAACACTTATACGAAACAATAATAAAGACATGGTGTCTCTTTTTTGAATATTAAGCTGTGAACAATGGCGACGGTACAATAGCCAACCATTTACAATTGAAAGATCAATAAGATGAAAGATAATCTTAGTATAGTACTTTTTTGAACGACCATTAATTCGATACAATGAAATTAACATGTCAATCAAATCAACACCACCCATGTATTGGTTATATGCTTTTACAATATTTGGTTGTGCAATTTGTATATGATTTTTTTCTTTTGACGACCATCGTTCAACTAAGTCGGTTGGTTGACAACCGTACAATGTAGACAAACAATTATCAGTCTTATTGTCATACCACCTTACTGCACATAATTCAACACCATCAACTCCAGCAACACGATGATCCATTGATTCTTTACCTTCTTTTGATAAATCTTTTTCGTCTTTCACGATCAAACCTAGTAAGCGATCAGCTCTTACCGTACCTACAGAATAAATACCTAACTTGTTCAACTCAACTTGAAGTTTAATTGTTGTAAAATAGTTATCAAAAAAAAAGGTTTATGCATGATAGAACGTGGTACAGTTTCACATAATTCAAGAACAACTTTTGTACAAAAACCTTGTTCCTGTGTATCAAAATCAGATTTGTCAACATAAAAAAGAAAATCATAACAAATGCCACTTTCACCTCCAGCTAAAAGAAACATTTTATAGCCCCAACGATGAGGCTTGTTAGGCATATGTTGTTTCATTATACTTCTGCCTTTGAATGGAATAATTTGTTCATCAACACTTAGTTTTTCCTCTTTTTCAATTTTTCTGACCTTATTTTTTACAATATTCAACAATGGTCGAACTTTATGAGCTCGATCATAATTTGGATCGTTACGATCGAGTTGATTTGAATTATGAACAACGTGTAAATATTTTCTGATTTCCAAAAAACGATCTCAACTCATGGTTGATGATATAGATTCTACTCGAGTAGTATTCATCCAAAAAAATCGTTGATCTGGAACACAGTATATTCCACTCATTATCAAAACACCAATAAATTGTGCCATTTCAACTTCTGAAATACGTGCTGGTTTATTTGGATTAGTTTGAACTGAATACAAGTTAGATCGTTCGGTCAAAAGTGTGATTGACTCTTTGCCGAACATAGAATAAAAATAGTCAATTGGTTCAAATTCCATATAAACTGGTGGTGGTGAAAAGGTACTAGCAAAATTCGCTGCTGGAAGTACCAAATCTTTTTTTTTCCAATCTATCGTTTTTTTCTTTTTTCTTTTTTGATTATTTAATTGAATATTTTCTTCATTATTAGTAACTTCACCTGATGATAATTCATTATTGATTGTTAATTCATTTCGTAAATTATGTCCTACTTTACTTATTTCATCTTCTGACTCAGATGAATCAACTTCTTCTTCGCTAAAATCATTCGGTACAGCAGTAGCCTTTTTAGAAAATGATTTAGCAGCCATCACCAAAACTTTTTTGATCAAGAACAGTACTTTATTTTACACCTAGAGTTTTTCTGTTCAAAATATTACTATCTCTAATTAGAATAACAAATAAAATTCAAAATTTAGAATTCTAATTAGTGTTAAAATTTGATAAATGATCACTGTATAGATAACGTACAGTCTATTTATAGTTTGACATAACAATGACAGGAATAGAAAAAGAACGTTGTTGAACAATAGAATACGTCCTTTTCACCAACGATAACACTGCGCGATAGATGGCTTTAGTATTTAATACAGACAACAATAGTACATTTCGTTCAATTATTCACACTCGCTTTCGAAGCTATTGGAGCATGTTAAGAGACAATATGTTCATATTATTCAGACAAAATGTTGCCGACTAGTAAGGGACTCCATTGCAAAGACACTAAATACTGAATTGTTTTTCTTATCTCATGAAGAAATGAAAAACTCTCGACAAAAAAAAATAGAATTTTTTTTCAATAGCAGTGCTTTTCATCATATTTGACGCTTTGATTACAACTTGCACGTATACAATCTCACGATAAAAATATTGAAGATGCCTTCTAATAGGTGAAAAAATAGCTATTGTTTTTCAAAGATACATATATTGAAGTGAAAACCGTGTAAATTACCTTGGTTTGATCATTACAAGCGAAAAAAAAATTTGGAAATTTTTGTATGTTTACGGCCGGCTGTTACCAAATGGCAACATCATTATATTTTATTATTAGAGTACATCGAATAAGAAATTTTAGTAACATAATATACAACAACGTTACTAACGAAAATGAATCAGTAATTGTTTTTTCATATTGATTATTAAAACATATAGAAAAATTATTTTTAAGATTCCGATGCCTTTTTGGGGCATTTCGAATAAGTAAGGTTACTTTTTTAGTGAAAGTTTTTTTTTGTCTTTTAAATTATTAATTTGTGTTAAAATGTGTCGTAGTAATTATCATATCGTGAAAACGTAATACACTCTTTGTATAAGCCAATCCATCTCAAAATATTAACTGAATGTTGCCAAATAGCAACACCCGGGGTAAAGGATTAACCATTGTAATATACAGGGTGATTGAAAAGTAACTAGCTATTTTAAATTCTTTA